GCAAGCTTAACTCCCTTCTAGCACTGATAATGTTACCTAGTTGGGTAATGAAACATCTGCAAGAAAACCACCAAGCTTAGAGAGCATCAAGGACCCCACAGTCGTTGTCCTCCTCCTCCTCCTCCTCCTCCTCCTCCTCCTCCCCCCTCCTCCATTTCGCAAGCCTCACTCCCTCCTAGCACTGATAATGTTACCTAGTTGGGCAATGAAACATCTGCAAGAAAACCACCAAACTCAGAGAGCACCAAGGACCCCACAGTCCTCCTCCTCCTCCTCCTCCTCCTCCATTTCACAATCCTCACTCCCTCCTAGCACTGATAATGTTACCTAGTTGGGTAATGAAATATCTGCAAGAAAACCACCAAGCTCAAAGAACACCAAGGACCCCACAGTCCTCCTCCTCCTCCTCCTCCTCCTCCATTTTGCAAGCCTCACTCCCTCCTAGCACTGATAATGTTACCTAGTTGGGCAATGAAACATCTGCAAGAAAACCACCAAGCTCAGAGATGACCAAGGACCCCACAGTTCAACCCTGCGCTAAAAACATTCTCTTTTACTGGGGATTGTTACATCCGTCATTGCCCTGATGGTTTATAGAGACCAGGCGCATTTATTGGCATGATGGTATAGAATTAGAAAAGCAAAAAAAACCCCCGGTTATGGAAGCTAGTCCAAGCAATTTTCTAATACAAATAATCTATCTTCCGTGACCAAATAAATAAATAAACACAAGACCTCTGCTTGAAGGGAGCCACACAATGGAAAGATTAGCAGTCTAGGGTCACTGAAACCTCTGGAGAAATTAATGAAATCATTTGTGAAGAGGGAAAAAAAATCAAACCATCACAAAGTGACTTTGAAGAAAACCTAATTATGCTGGCCCTGACTCAGAAAAAGCTCATTTCCCGGTAAAATCTGTTTTTGAGAGGATTCCACTAAAAAAAAAACCAACGTTGGGGGATAGAATGAGGTTGATATTTGATTTGCAGTGTTCTAGTATCTCAGGGGCTGCCACAAAGAAGAGGGAGTCAAGCTATTCTCCAAAGCGCCTGAAGGCAGGACAAGAAGCAACGGATGGAAACTAATCAAGGAGAGAAGCAACCTAGAACTAAGGAGAAACTTCCTGACAGTTAGAACAATTAACCAGTGGAACAACCTGCCTCCAGAAGCGGTGAAGGCTCCAACACTGGAAGTTTTTAAGAAGAGACTGGACAGCCATTTGTCCGAAATGGTCTAGGGTTTCCTGCCTGAGCAGGGGGTTGGACTAGATGACCTCCAAGATCCCTTCCAACTTTACTATTATTATTATTATTATTATTATTATTATTATTATTATTATTATTATTATTATTATTATTATTATTATTATTATTATTATTATTATTATTATTATTATTATTATTATTAAAAAGTCTGTGCTGCAAACAGAAAGAATCAAGGTTAACCAAGCGTCAACCCCAATGACAAACAAGGTTATTATCAACAGAGCAAAATTCCTTCTTCTTTTTTTTTAAAGCTGAAAAGTTTGGGCTAAGCGTGCTTTA